CCTTGAATAAAACTTTGTTGGTCTTAAAGGTGCCCCACTGGACTCCCAAGTTTGTTCTGCCGCTTCAGACCAACATGGCGACCCCACCTGATTGTATCTGGAGAAATGTGCTTGCACATGAAAGCTTATACCTTGAATAAAACTTGAGTTTGGAGTAGTGGTTAGGAGAACCAGTTTGGTGTACACTGCAGTGTAATCTTGTAGAAGGGGCTGCGGTGGCTCAGAGGTTAAGATGCTGAGCTGCAGACCGGAAGGCCGGTCGTTCAGCAGTTCGAGACCCGGGTGCCGCGTGATGGAGTGAGCCCCCGTCTCTCTAGTTCCAGCTCCTGCCAACCTAGCAGTTCGAAAGCAAGAAATGGCAAGTAGATAAATAGGTACCACTTCGGTGGGAAGGTAACAGCATTTCGTGCGCCTCGGCGTCTAGTCATGCTGGCCACATGAGCACGGAGAAGTCTTCGGACAGCACTGGCTCTTCAGCTTGGAAATTGAGATGAGCATCGTCCTCTAGAGTCGGATTCGACTGGCTTTAGAGCAAGGGAAACCTTTAATCTGGGACAACCGGGTTTGAGTCCCCACTCCTCCACATGCAGCCAGCTAGGCGACCTTGGGTCAGTCACAGTTCTCTCAGAGCTGTTCTCTCAAGGGCAGTCCTCGAAAGAGCTCTCTCAGCCCCACCCACCTCACAGGGTGTCTGTGGTGGGGAGGGGAAGGGAAAGGAGACTGTAAGCCGCTCTGAGACTCTGAGTGAAGGGCGGGGTATCAATCCAATCTCTTCTTCTTTGTTGGTCTTAAAGGTGCCACTGGACTCAAACTTTGTTCTGCTGCTTCAGACGATGGCTACCCAACCTGACTCTCCTAACAGATGGCAGCAGTTATGGAGTAGCCAGTGATTTTAGTTCGGGTTTGGGAGGAAAGTACGTGTCGAATATCATAATGCCCCTATATAAATCAATGGTGCGATCTCATTTGGAATACTGTGTGTAGTTCTGGTCACCACACCTTAAAAAGGATATTATAGCTTTGGAAAAAGTGCAGAAAAGGGCAACTCGGATGATAAAAGGGTTGGAACACTTTCCCTATGAGGAAAGGTTAAGGCGCTTAGGGCTCTTTAGCTTGGAGAAACGACGACTGAGGGGTGACATGATTGAGGTTTATAAGATTATGCATGGGAAAGAGCAGGTAGAGAAAGAGGTACTTTTCTCCCTTTCTCACAATACAAGAACCCGTGGGCACTCCATGAAATTGCTGAGCAGTCGGGTTAGAACGGATAAAAGGAAGTACTTCTTCACCCAAAGAGGGATTAACACTTGGAATTCACTGCCACAGGAAGTGGTGGCGGCTACAAGCATGGACAACTTCAAAAGGGAATTAGATAAGCATATGGAGCAGAGGTCCATCAGTGGCTATTAGCCACAAGGTATAGCTAGGGGCTCTGGGGCAAGTGATGCTGCTGTTTCTTTGGGCGTGGGGGGGGGGGGGTCAACAGTGGGAGGGCTCCTAGTGTCCTGGCCCCAAACCAGGGCGTTCCTGATGGCACCTGGTATTTCTGTCCACTGTGTGATACAGAGTGTTGGCCTAGATGGGCCTTTGGCCTGATCCCACATTGGCGTCTCTTATGTTCTTATGTTCTTATGTCGTCGTGGAATTGACAGAGCGTCACACGTACGTTGCAATCTTCTCTTAGATGTTAAAGACCCTGAAGAACAACAGGGACAAAGGGCGGGTGAACCACAGCGCTGCTCTGTTTGGGTTTGGAGACGGCGGAGGGGGCCCGACGCAGAAGATGCTGGACCGCTTAAAGAGGATGAAGGATACGGATGGCTTGCCCAGGTGAGTCTCCCCTGACAACACGACGCGGCCCACCCCTTGAAAGAAGGAAAACACTGCGATGAAAGCCAGCAATCGAATGATCAAAACTGGATGTAGGGTTGTCAATCCCCCCGATCGGGGTGGGATTTTCCCCCAGTTTCAGGGGGCCCCAGTCTGCTGCCTGCCAGTCTGCCAGTGGGGTGTGTCCTGCCCCTGAAGAGGGCTATTTTTGGGCAGGAACGCACAGGAACGGAGTTCCGTCTGGCTTCCAAGTTGGCCACACCCAGCAGGAACTCATTAGCATAATAGGCCACACCCAAGAGCAGAAACATTAGGATTGGCTACATTAGGGGGTGTGTGGCCTAACATGCAAAGGAGTTCCTGCTACAAAAAAAGCCCTGGGTTTTGACAACAAACAAGGTAAACAGAATAAGAAGCAAAAGGTGGGTGTGGCTGGATGAGCACACTTCTGGTAACATGGGGGTGTGGCCTAATATGCCAATGAGCTGTGCTGTCAGGGGTGTGGCCTAATAGGCGAATGAGTTTCTGCTCTTGGGTGTGGCCTGTTATGCTAATGAGTTCCTGCTGGGCTTTTTCTACAAAAAAAGCTCTGGTTAATACCAACATTTTGAATGGAGTCTGGAAGCTATTTTAGAAGGTTTCCCACCTCTTGCCTGCAGAGAGGAAGAAATCTCGAAAATATCCCCGTTTGCATTTCCTTTTGGGAGGGTGAGAAAGTCCCCCAGTCTTGTTGTCTGTTCAGCTCCCGTCTTTCTTTCTCGCAGGGTCCAGATGTCCACTCCGGACCAGTTTTTCTCCGCCTTGGAAAAGGTAGAGTCCCAGCTGTGCACGTGGGTCGGAGAACTGTTTCTGGAGTTACATAACGGCACGTACACCACCCACGGACAGGTTAGTGTGCCCCGAGGAACATCAGAAAAGGACATTAGATCGTGGCTAACGCTGGCTTATCATACAGCAGTGGCACTGAAGCGGTCAAACCCTGTCTGGAGGCTTCTGATCAACAAGCCACGTCTTATTTTACAAAACAAGTGAATAGTAAAAAGGGTTACAGAAGAGAAGAAAAAAGGGAGATCGTATAACAAGTTGTGTATATCACAGATCATTATACATGGCGGGGTATAGCAAACAAGAAGTTAAAAAGTATTTCTCCCTAACATCCCCTTCATCACAGTTTTAAAACATTTTCTATAAGGTACAGTGACCCTTCCTTTGGACACTTTAAATTTCAGATTGTATTACTAATCCCTCTTGCAACTTTGCTATTAGTTTAATCATTACCGCATATTCTGTATTACATAATTCATCATTTAATATAGCATGGTTTAACGGAGATCCTCATAAAGGTGGGTGCCTCTATGAGGGACCACATCCAGCCGGTGCTGAGGGCGCTGCACTGGCTGCCAATAGCGTTCCGGATACGCTTCAAGGTGCTGGTTATGACCTTTAAAGCCCTTTATGGTCTGGGGCCTGCCTACCTGCGGGACCGCCTTTCTCCGTATGTTCCCCCGAGAGCACTGAGATCCGAGTCACAAGATCGCTTAGTTCTCCCTGGCCCCAGGGATGCCAAATTAACATCCACCAGAACCAGGGCGTTCTCCGTGGTAGCGCCTGTATTATGGAACCAGCTCCCCCACGAGATCTGCGCTCTCCGGGATCTCTACCAGTTCCGGAGAGCTGTTAAGACAGAATTATTCCGCCAAGCGTTTGACAACTTGGACTGAGCATGCAGCACTTTATAGTCGCCATTCTGAATAAGTTTTATTGAGTGTAAAGTATGATTTTAATGTTTGTATTGATTGTTTTAGATGAGTTGTTTTATTGTATGTTGTTGTACGCCGCCCTGAGCCGCTTCGGCGGGAGGGCGGGATAAAAATCAAATAAATAAATAAATAAATAAATCCCTTATGTTTCACACAATAAAAAATAGAAAATAGTTTGCCCCAAATCCAATTCCTTATACATTTATATTCAAAGCTATTCAAATAGAACATGTAGATGCTCACATGACAAAATAGAAACAACTGAACATACGATTATGCAGTGTCCTGTATTTAATGAGCTGAGGGCTAATTTAATTACTCCTTTACGTGATGTGGTTACTATCGGATATAAATGATTTTGTTACTCTCTCCATGGTAAAATTTATGGGGGCAATAGTTAAACAACAGAAGAATAACACTCAATAAGGCAGTATCTTATTTTACAATTTTATTTTCTGCTCAAGGCTATCGCTGTATGAGCACTACTAGATAGATAGATTGGAGGGAGATGATAGAGGTAGATGATAGATAGAGGTAGATGATAGAGATAGATAAATAGATGATAGATACATGGATAGAGATAGATGAGAGACAGATGATAGATGGATAGAGATAGATGGTAGAGATAGATGATAGAGATTAATAGAGATAGATGATAGATAGAGATAGATAGATGATAGATAGACAGACAGATGATTGAGAGAGAGAGAGAGAGAGAGAGAGAGAGAGAGAGAGAGAGAGAGAGAGATACAGGGGTAATTTCGTAGAAAAAGAGGTGCAGGGGTTCATTAGCTTGACTCATTTGCATATGCCACACCCCCTGACATCACCAGAAGTGTGTCAGAAGGCAACACCCACCGCTCAAGCTCCACTGGACTGTTTGGATTGCTAGCTATTTGGGGGGGGGGACGTGCAGATCTGACAATAGTTTTTGACACGGGAACGTTATTCCTTTAGACCAACTGGATGAGAATGGAAATGATTATGGATTGAAAATATACGTATTACTCTGGTTCTTTTAGGTACTACTAAGTTGATGTTACGTTCTAGGGGTCATTTCATAGAAAAAGAGGTGCAGGAGTTCATTAGCATAACTTATTTGCATATGCCACACCCCCTGACATCACCGGAAGTGTGTCAGAAGGCAACACCCACCGCTCAGGCTCCACTGGACTGTTTTGGATTGCTAGCTATTGTGTGTGGGGGGGGGAATGTGCAGATCTGTCCTCACAGAGGAGGGAGAGCTTGTACCTGAATAAAACTTGGTCTTAAAGGTGCCACTGGACTGTTTTGGGCTGGGGGGTCGGGGGGGGGGAGCTCTGCAACTTACCTGGCTGCTTCTTGCTCTGACTGAGGGCTGCTGGGAGCAGGGGGTGGGGCTTGTTGCATGTGCCCGCCACCTGGGCTCTTTACTGCCGGAGCTCCGCTCCTGTGCGCTCCTGCAGGAAATGACCCCTGGAGATAGATGATAGAGATGAATATAGATAGATGATAGATAGAGATAGATGATAGACAGACAGACAGACAGACAGACAGACAGATTCAAAACTTACTCTCAATCAGCTTAACATTGTGGTACATTTCTATGCATTGTAACACATCCGTATACATTTTAAAAATTGTTCCTCGTTCTAAATTTTAAGCTGTTTCTCATTCTGAGTTTGTCTCCGACTTACATAATATACATGCTGTCACTCCTCGGATTTCGAAACCGATTGGCCGCGTCGAACCTTTCGTCCTGTTCCCGAGCTTGTATAAATCCCGAATCCTTTTTTCTCCTTTTGGAGTCAGATTAAAAAGGGGAACCGGGAGTGCGAACGCCTTCTCCACGACGTCGAGGTCCTGAGCAGCTTGGCTTTGTCGAGGAAGACCTCCTTTCAGTATCCTTCTGCCGAGCTGCAGCGTCTCTGGAGGTAAAGTTGTGAACGGTCTCTTTGATGCCCTGCAGGAGATGGGCCTTTGAAGCTCCAGGAGAAGGATCAGGGCGGCTCACATGCGGCAAAGCCGAGTGCAAAATACAGTACGGTATATAATAGATAAAACATTTAAAAACACAATAAAACCTTCCAATAATACGGTGCTAAGACGCTGAACTGCAGGCTGTGGAAGGTCAGTAGTTCAGCGGTTCGAGACCTGGGTGTGCCGCATGACGGAGTGAGCTCCCGTCTCTAGTTCCAGCTCCTGCCAACCTAGCAGTTTGAAAGCAAGACATTGCAAGTAGATAAATAGGTACCACTTCGGTGGGAAGGGAACAGCGTTCCGTGCGCCTTGGTGTTTAGTCATGCCGGTCACATGACCACGGAAACTTCTTTGGACAGCGCTGGCTCTTCGGCTTAGAAACGGAGATGAGCACCGCAACCCTAGAGTCGGATTCAACTAGCTTTCGAGCAAGGGAACCTTTACCTTTACACCTATATTAATCATCCAAGATGGGGACAACCCCCCCCAGGTTTGGTGGCCAGTTGTCTCAGTAGCGTGGTCTCACACTACACTGTCTCAAACGTCTGCCAGGGCCTGCTTGCCCTCGTTCTTATAGGGCAGCCAAGAAGTTCTGATTTGGGACGGAGGATCTCTCCCCGCCCCCAACTCAGCGGCTGTGTGTAGGGGAAGCCGCCGAGGCCCCTTTTCATACACTCTCTTCATCTGCAGTCGTTTGGATCCAAGCCCAGGACTGCAGGTGAAAAGTTGAAGAGAATCCCCGTGGGGAGTACCACAGATAACGAAGCGGACACTGTTCGGTGGTGGAAAGTGCCCTCGAGTCCCAGCTGACTTATGGTGACGCTGTGACTTGACGGCACTTTCCACCACCAAACAGCGCTTAGTTCCTGTTGCCCTTTCTTACACGCCCAGGAAAAGGCCGATCGCCACTTCGGGGTCAGGAAGGAATTTTTCTCCAGGCCAATTTGGTCTGGGATCCTGGAGGGTTTTTTGCCATCTTCTGGGCATGGAGCAGGGGTCACTATGTGTGTGTGTGTGAAGGGGGAGTGTGAATTTCCCACATTGTGCAGGGGGTTTGGACTGGATGACCCCAGAGCTACCTTCCACCTCTATGATTCTCTGATAGGCATAATTTCCAACATAACGTTTGGAGAGGTCTCCAGTGATCTTTGTGCATCAAGGTCTATTTTTTGCTTGTAGAAGGTGAAATAGTTCTGCTCTTTCTGGGGTCTCATCTGCGCTTCCTTTGACTCAGGCTGCTGCTTTTGAATCAATTCCACGATGTGTTGCCGGGCAGCTGCATCCAACTAGTAGCTGAGGATGCCATGAGATACTATTCCGGTAAGCCGGGGAGAAGGAACAGATTTGTGAATTGGATTAGGCTGAGCAAGTGACTGGCCCGAGTACTAAGGACTGAGGCCGATGTCTACGAGAGAGTAAGAACACCAACTCTAACATTCTATGAGTCTATGAGTATAATCACAAAAGATATTGCACAACCCCTTTATTAATTTCAGTCCTCCTTAATTATACCAAAGCTTTAAGAGGGAGGACTCCTTTAAGTCTATTTTCACTTTGGAAGAAGCTTTGAGCTCACTAACAGAGACTTTTTGCAGCATTCATTGAAAAATTTGGATGAATATTTTGGTATTTGGCAACCTTGTGCTTGGAAATATCTGTTGAACTCCCTGAGGAAGACACTGAAACAGGAGGATATCCGGACCTCTGTTGGAGGAAGACTGAGCACTTATTCAGAATACTTAAAGGAGTCCTCCCTCTTGAAGCTTCTGTATAATTAAGGAGGACTGATATTAATAAAGGGGTTGTGCAGTCTCTTTGGTGATATATTAAGAGACGATACTTAGATGTTTTGATATATGATCCTTTCTATGTATTAAGGCTTACATGATAAATAATATATGGTGAATAAATTGTAAAAATATAAAACAAAAAATATATAGAAATTATTTGAGATATTGGAGCTGCGGTGGCTCAAGTGGTTAAGACGCTGAACTGCAGGCTGTGGAAGGTCGGTAGTTCAGCAGTTCGAGACCCGAGTTGCCGCATGACCGAGTGAGCTCCCGTCTCTAGTTCCAGCTCCTGCCAACCTAGCAGTTTGAAGGCAAGAAATTGCAAGTAGATAAAGAGGTACCACTTCAGTGGGAAGGTAACAGCATTCCGTGCGCCTTGGTTTTTAGTCATGCCGGCCACATGACCACGGAAACGTCTTCGGACAGCGCTGGCTCTTTGGCTTTGAAAGGGAGATGAGCACCGCAACCCTTGAGTCGGATTCGACTGGCTTTCAAGCAAGGGAACCTTTACCTTTACCTATAATTGTCTGTCGCACGGTATTTGCTGATTTTTTGGTATTTCCTACTTACCAGGGGTCCTATTTTGGTTTTGTGATTGTAAGCTGTGGTTGGCATTTTGTGGCCAGCTCCGCCCCCTGAGGCAGCCATCTTGTGGGTGTGCCCACCAGCTGTGTTAAAATTTCAAATGTGCCTGCAGGCATAAAAAGACAGGGACCCCTGAAATGCATTTTCTAATTTCCCCAAACCCCCTTAACTCTATTTTTTCTGGGTCTGTCCCTCTTCTTAAAAGTCTTTGTCATCTGTTCTCTCAAGAGCAGTCCTCTAAAGAGCTCTCTCAGCCCCACCTACCTCACAGGGTGCCTGTTGTGGGGAGGGGAAGGGAAAGGAGTTTGTGAGCCGCTCTGAGACTCCTTTGGGTAGTGAAGGGCGGGGTATAAATCCAATCTCTTCTTCTTCTTTTACCTCACAGGGTGTCTGTTGTGGGGAGGGGAAGGGAAAGGAGTTTGTAAGCCGCTCTGAGACTCCTTCGGGTAGTGAAGGGC